TTATAAATAAACACACAAAGATATTTATTAAATAATTAAATATTGTGAAACAATGATGGAATGTATATGTAAATCTCAAATTTCATCCTACCAAAACTATTACAAAATATTTAAATAATTACAATTACCATTCACATTACATTTTGTTAAACTTACATGAAATTTTAAGAATAAAAATATGAACATCGAACATACTATACTCTATTCATATATTTTTTGAATGAAACTTTTTTTGTTCTTAAAATTGATTGAAGTGTAAACATTCTACAGTGATAAAGAATATTATATATTATAGGATGTTTACTTATGCTTTTTCTTCTTCACCTACTAGGGTTGACAATTTTTCTTCATATTTTTCTGCAAATACAGGATCAGTGTTTTTAATAGATAAAAGTAATGAATCCTTTTCTTCTTGAGACCAATTATGACTCCATTCTCGAAAAAGTTTAACACGACATTGAAATAGACTTGGTGGTCTGTCAAGCTCGTTAGCATGTCCTAAACTTTCCATTCTAGATACCAATCCATTGACAAGACCTGATGGACCACATTGTTCCAAAAGTATATCCAAAAAGTCACTTCTTTGCATTTCAGACCATTCTTGAAACCACTCAATTACATAGCCTAGTTGGGCTTCATTTGAGAGCGTGGTAGACATGTTCTGTCTTTAATAAAATTGTACAACAATAATTAATCATAATGCACGAAATTGAGATGTTACTAAAAGAATACAAATATAATGTATTGGCAAAAAATAACAAATTTGACCAATACAATTAATTGAATTTTAAAATTATCATACATTTATATAATAAAGAGATTATATTTACCACGTGTTTTCTATTAATGATATTTGGTTCACTTATTTTCGATTTATTGCTTCTAACCATTACAAATTTTTACTTGTGAACACACATAATGCCGTGAAGATACATTATAGCATAACGACGAGTGTAATTTTTAAATGTTATACAAGCTCTATAACAAAACAATTACATTAAACTATTGATCCATTAATTTAGATTTCTTGGGGTTAATTTCAATTTCGCCGTCAAAATCCGAATCGCTTTCCGATATTAATTGATCTAAAATTGACAAAACTCTATTAGTTTCTATGAGCTTCCAACTAAACAATTTTTATACTCCTTTTTAGCACTTTCTTATTTACTTTCAGTATTAACAGAACTATCTTGTTTTTCCACGAGGCTAGTTAAAAAATCGTTGATTTCAATCTGTGTATCCTTCAAACAAGAAATTAAGCCACTCAAATTATTTGCATTTAACGCTACATTATTATTATTTTCGTAAATGCACTTGTCAGTTTCATAAATTTTTACATTTATACTCGGACTACTCATTGTGATATTATATTTGTAATAATTTTCATTCACGTAACAAAATATTTTCGCAAACGACGAAGATTTGACTCAAGAAAAGTTCACAGTTTCCATAAACGGAAGGTGTGTTATATTTCATTACGATATTTCTTCTACTATACGAATTTTAAAAAGGAAATTTTTGTATCGATACAATAAATTAATTGCCATACATAGAACTAAAGTTTTCTTTGTAAAATCATTAATAAAATTATATAATGCATTACAAAGTTTTAATCTAATTTCATGTCCTTAATCATGTGAGACTAAAAGTATTTCGTCGTCAACATGTAAATACTCCATAACATTAAGTTCGTCATATCATCGTGGTTGTCATTTACAGGAACTGAATGGTTGAATAGTGACATAGTAAACGTGTTATACCACTACATTTGACAAACCTTAAAAACATATTGGCATTAACGAAATGGTTCTGCTGGAGAACGACGCGGTAATTTTTAATGTATAAGAAGTTATTATTTTGAGGTTTTCTATGAATTTAAATTTTAGTTTTTAGTGGAGCTAACACGACTTTTCGACAAATCTCGACTTTCTGGTTCTGTAGTACTTACTATTAAAAGATGTAAGTACTTGTATTGTTATTTGATGAACACAAAATATAAAACTTTATTACAATATTTTCTCTTTAGTTAACGGACATAATAAACCAGTACCTAGAGAAGGCAGGCCTCCGTTACCAACACCAAGTGAATTTCTCTGTTTAGTAAGAGCTACATTAAGATCCAAAAAAATTTCTACTGTTGTATGTACTATTTTACAATATAATATTTAATCATTTCTAAATATTGTGCATAAAACTAATATAAAAATGTCTTATTTTTCAGATACATTCTAAAGATGTAAATAAATTCCAACAAGCATATTGGAATTTGTTAAAATCAAATGTTAATGGCCTTAAGAAACTAAAGAAAATTAAATCTGCAAAGCCTAAAGTTCATTGATATTGTAATATTGACTGTTTAACATTTAAATGTTATATATTATTGCTAAAACTTTTGTATAACATCCCTAATGTAAAATGCAATATTGCTTAAAAAATAAATTACATTTTATGTAAATAATACCAATATAAATAAGTTGTTGAATTTTTGTACATAAATACATGCAAATTATAATTATAATCCATAAACTGTATTCATTTTATTACATTTAAACATTGCTTAGATACAAAATATGTGATAATACGATTTCTCGAGAAATACGATTTTTTGTCATAGAAAAAACACGTTCTTAAATTCACCATTCAGCGATCGAGAAACAGATATGTCCATGATTTATACGTATATATATTTTACTCAACCGATAATAAGTTTAAAAACTATTTTATTGTTAAAAAAGTAAAGAAGATGGTCCTTTTGATAATTTTCTTTTTAATATTATGCAATAGTTAAGTTATTTTCCTTTTTTTCTTTGTAAGTAATAAAAGTTTATTTAGATTACAAAATCTTATACATTCAAACTACTGTTAATCGGAATTTATAAATATCTATGGGAAACGTTAATTGCAAATATGGAAGGCGTGCCCCTGACATAGGCCATTTTGATGTGCGTTCAAGCTTGTAGGAATTATTTCTCCAGGGGCAAGTGGAAGTATTTAAGAAGCTTGGAAACGAAAAGTAATCTCAAGATTATCAAAAATTTCAATTGTTTTCGGGTTTTTTTTAATCAGTTTTAATAAACACAACTGTTCATTTATGAGTATAGGTTCTATCGAAATATTCCGATTTACGTGTACATTTCTTAATCGTAAATTGCGGTTACAAAAGTGCACTTAATTTTTTATGTATACAAATATTCTCTTTTATTGTTCCAATTATTAGAAGCAGCAATGGAAGAAATAATGGGTAATCACACTTTTTTAATAAAAATATATTTCACATGTTGGTTATTACGTAGCATATGATACACGTCATTTCTTTTATAGAAATCGTGAAAGTTGAGGATGCGGTGTTGATGAGAGATGCCAGTTTAGAAAATTTATTTGGTAATCGTAATACAGTTGTGATGTACAAATGTTTTTAACAACAGCTCTAATATCGTTTCTTGATTTTTACAGATCCAAATAACTCACAAAAAACTATTATAATGTCTGCTGAACAAGAGTCTAATGATATGCAAGGTATACATAACAATCATAGCCTTATACTTTATGATACATATTTTTATTTGTTTATGCATGTCGTGTGTTAATTTTGTAGTGGACACATTCTTTTATGTTACTTGCTTTTTTCTATTTATTATAGTATTTTTTTATTATACTTTTGCAGTAATTACTCATGGTGGACAAATTATACAAATTATAACAGATTATGAATGTGTAACATGTCACCGTGTCTTTCAATCAGAAGATGTAAGATTTTTGTTGATCTATCAGAAATCATATCATTTAAAAATTAAACAATCTATAAATATGCTTAGAAATATATTTTGACAAACTTATTCACTTTTGATAGATGCTAAAAGAACATCTAGATATGTGTAGAGAAGAGGATGATTCTAATATATTGCAATTAAAAGATGATAATTATGACTCAGAAGAAGAAGAAGAGAGAGAAGATAGTCCAGATTATGTTGTTAATTTTA